TATTCACACCATTCGTGTCTTCATATATGTACTTAGGGTAATGATGTCCATCTCATTCCACCATCTTTCCTATCCCCATGTCCCCTCCCTTCCCCTCCCTCCCCTTTTCCCCTTTGCCCTATCTAGAGTTCATCTAATCCTCCCATGCCCACCTCCACCACTTTATAAATCAGCATCTTTAAATCAGAGAAAACATTCTGTATTTGTTTTTTTTTTGCTTCACTTAGCACATATTATCGCATATTCACCAACTTCATCCATTTACCTGCAAATGGATGATTTTATTCTTTTATTGCGGAGTAATATTCCATTGTGTATGTATACCACATTTTCTTTATCCATTCATCTACTAAAGGACATCTAAGTTGGCTCCACAGTTTAGCTATTGTGAATTGTGCTGCTATAAACATTGATGTGGCTGTGTCCCTGTAGTATGCTGTTTTTAAGTCCTTTGGGTATAGACGGAGGAGAGGGAGAGCTGGGACAAATGGTGGTTCTGTTTCCAGTTTTCCAAAGATTCTCCATACTGCTTTGCATATTGGCTGCACCAGTTTGCAGTAGTCCCACCAGCAATGTATGAGTGTGCCTTTTCCCCACATCCTCACCAATACTTATTGTTGTTTGTGTTCTTAATAGCTGCCATTCTGACTGGAATGAGATAAACTTTTTTTATGTTTAAGTTTCCTATGGGGGTGAACACTATGATTAAAAAGTAAACCTTTTTAGGATATACAAAGTAAAGCTCCAACTTGTTTTTTAACCTTGGTGCTATGGTTTGGACATGGTTGGAGTATGTTCCCCAAAGGTTCATTAATTTGAAGCTGGGTTTCCAGGGTGTTGATGTTGAGAAGTGTTGGGACCTTTAAGAGGTGGGGACTCATGGGAGACAGCCAGGTTGTGGGTGCCACCCTCAGAATGAGCTGGTTCTCCTGACAGTGAGTTGCTTTGGAGCCAGACTGGCCACAAGTACCACCTTGGCTTCCTGTCTCCCCATGTGATCTCTGCCATTGTGCTCCAGCCATTGTGACGTCAGCTGCCATGAGGCCCTCACCAGAGCCCTGCAGAACTGGCCCCCTGCTCCTGGATGCCCAGACAAGATAAACAGATATCCCAACCTTGGATATTTTCTTATGGTAATGGAAAAAAAGACTAATATAGTTAGAATTCATGCTTTCAGATGCAAAAGTAAAGAGACCACCACATCTTATCTTTATTTTGAAAAATGCTTTAGGAAAAACTGACCAAAGAAGTTGCAAGCATGCCACATAACTAACTTAAAGAAGAGAAACAGATGCCATTTATTTTCTTTTATGTGTCACATACAATGTGTTAGACCAGTTTTCTGAAGCTTTGTTCTATGTCATAAACACAGAAGGGATCAGTAACTTGCAAAACACTGTCTCTTCTTCCACTCTCAGAAATCCTGCTTCAGGAGGTCTGAGGCCTGAGAACCTGCCTTTCTGACACCTTCCCAGGGGAGCTGGGGCTGCAGCAGTCCCCCTTAGATTGTGAAGCATCTCCAGCCTTCTGCAGGTACTGAAGTTGAATGACTGTCCGCTTTGCTATGATTTGTCTTGTATTACTTCTGAAGCAACTTAACTTTCAATTATTACTTTTTCTTCATGTCAGCCTAAAGTACCTCTCTTTACTGTATTTCCTTTTAGTATTCTATTCCTGAAATTTCAATTATCACATTTTTGTGGATTGTTCTAAAATATCTCTGGATAGACTTTTAAGCTCCCCTCTGTGTTTAAATGCTTTTGCCTGTTGACAGCCTGCTGACTGAACATGGAACTTGGTTTCTCTGAGCCAGGCTTGGTTTAGCTATGGCCACAAATCTGTAATATGTAAACTTCACCTAATACTTTACCTAGACACACAGTAGCTTTGGTTATTCCTGTAAGAAAACTTGACCTTTCTGATTGTAAGATATGTGTTCTGTGACTGCGTTCTGCTTAGTTTTCTTAATTTTTTTCTCATATATCCTAGGTGATCTTGAAATAAGTTGAACATATAATAGGAAAAAATACCATTGGTTCTTTGATAAAACAGTACTTAAGGAATCTAAATTACTTCATAACCTGCTAGTTTAGCCTGCCTTGTCTGTGTGGCTTTAGAACAGGTCCTAATGCTCAGTGTGACCAATGGGTGTTACCACCTGAGCCAGGACTCACTTGCACCAAGGAGGCTCAAGGGCAACTGCCCCAGATGCTAAATACAGAGGCTTGCTCTTCTCTCCTCGGAAGCCCTGTCCTCCTTGCCAACAAGCCAAGCCAGGACCCTCCCCTGCAGGAAATCTCCAGCATTCTACATGTTTCTGTTTCCACATCTAAAGTGACCGTCCGTGCTGTCCTCAAAGGTTGCTCACCAGTACCACATCTGTGTTCAAAGCATGCAGACATTAAAGGGGACAACGAGGGCAAGAACTCACATACTTTTCAAGGACCTAAAATGGAAACTGCACATATTATTTCTGTCATTTTAGTAGTGAAAATTTCATCACATGCCAGTACCCAGGCACGAGGGAGGTACTGTATAAGAACATGTCTGTACCTGTCTCATTGGTGAGTGGGCACTGTGTTCCCTCTCTGTCGGATCATTTATTCCAAAGGTTTGTGTGTAGGAGATAGCCTTGGGAGGTAAAGACAGCACAGTCCTCCACAGCAGAAGTGAGACCACCTCACCAAACATGAGCCCTTAGTTCCTCGAGCTCAGGCTTCCTCTCCTACGATGCTGTCCATGATGTGAGAAGGTGTCATTTGTCCTTCTTCATGCAGATTTGAGGGGTTAGGGGCTAGGGGCCCAGGGCTGTGTCACAGAGGACACTTACGTTAAGGACACTCACCCTTGTTGTGAGTAAGGTACTTGAGACCTGGCAGTCTCATGTCTGCCTCAGTTTGAAATCAGGGTGACATCTCAGTGCCTTCACAGTGTTTGACAGTTGAGGCAGTGATGGTGGGATGGTGTCAAATAACTTGGCTTTATGGAAGAGAAAAGAAGAGAGCCCGTGGCTTGCTGAGAGTCTATGGAATCCCGAGTGAACATGTTGCCCATGGTCTCCCTGAATTCACTTTATCAATTATTAGAAGAAATTTGGGAAATAGTCACAAATTAGCCACAAAGGAGGTTTAAATGGTGCTGCCCACATCTCTGGCTGTTGCTCTCTCCTCTGGTGGGAGGACTTCCTGGTTAGTGGAGAACTACTGTCACGTTCACTGTGCAGCAATCACCGGTACTGAAATCTGTCCCAGGTGGCAGGGTACTCTGAACCCCCTCCAGACAATGGCTTGAGAGACAACTCAGCCTGGGCATTAGGGGAGGGAAATGCATGACTGCGCTGGGCAGAAACTCAGCCGAGCCCCATGTCTGCTAGGTTGTTTGGAGAAGCACGGGCAGCGGCACAACCAGTTTCCAAGGTAGGAGAGCATTAGTTACATGGCTCTGCAGCTCCACAGCTCCTGCTGTCTCTCCAACCAACCCTGGATCCATTCAGAAATGACAGTAAAAGTTCTAGGAGGCATTTTAAAATAGTTCCTATTTGCTTTAAGGAGACTCAGATCCTCTCATGGAGAACATTCCAAGGGATATGTGTGTGTGGGGAGGGGGCAAGTTCCATGAAATATGTAAGAAAAGTTCCACGAAACATATAGCCAACTCCCACGGAAATGCAGGCATCAGGCACTGTCTGGTTTGCATGAAGGCGATCTGGAGGAGAAGACCCTGCCAAAAGAAATCTCCAAGTCCTTCTGCTGCCCATTCCACATCCTAGAAATATCTCCTAGCCTCATGTTAAAATTGCACAAAAAGTCCAGTGTTGTAGGAATGGGCAGCAGATGCCTTGTACTAAGATGGACTTCTTGGCAGTAGGTGAGCATCTCAGTGAGTCAAAGTGGGTTTGGCTAAAAGGTCAAACTCCATGCCTTTGCAGAAACAAGAAGAACTGCACCCGCCAACTGAACACCAGACACTGCATTCTTTTGTGGTCAAGGATGCCTTAGAGCTTGAGTGAATTTCCTTTATTCATAGGGACCCCACGTGTACCTTGGGGACTGAGCTTCTGGTGTGAAACCCAGCATTTACTGCTTCCTTTGTGAAAAGAAGAGGGGGAACTTGCCCCCTATGTGAGACCTTCTGGAGTTTTAAGGAAGTGTGATGAGTGGCATTCAGATGACAATAGTGACAGAGAGTGCTCCTAATGAGACTACTTTGGAGGCTGAGAGAGTATCCTAGAGAGAGGGCAGTCTCATTATTTAAGTGCTCCCAGTAGGCAGTTTGGTTGACAATGGTATCATCTAATTATAAAAGAAGGGTTGAGTTTTTTGAAATGATCAGTGGTACCATCTTAAGCCTGGACGACATTCCAGTCAACCCCAACTCACTGAAAAGAAGGATTTTATAAGACAAACTTATGCTATACCCAACCCATGTAGCCTATAGGATTGTAAAATCTCTATTTTCTGTAATACTCAGTAGAGAAACAAGAAGAAAGCCGCCAGTCTGCTAAAGTAGACCCTGATAATTCCTGGGGTTTTCCCAGATGACTTGATTTGAGGTAGGGAACAATGTGGTCAAGGTCAACTGTCCAGCACAGCCCTGCTGCAACCAGCACGGCCAACCTAACAGGTTCTGGTGAGGGTTGAAGGGCAATAAGAAAAATAAAGACTCACAGACTCAGACTTTGAAGATAACAGCTGGGGTCAGGTGGAGTGCTGCTCTCTGATGGAGAAGCAGGTCGCCAGCAATCTTTATATATGTCTCATTGTCAGATTAAAGACTATGCATGCATGTCTTTGCATTCATGAAAGTTACAGAGTTAGCAACATTATGCAACTTATTCTGCAGTTACATTCTACAGCTGCAGTGTGCAATTTTAGGAGCTTTGTGTAGCTCTCAAGAAAGTCCTTTTTTTAAAGTTGCTGTTTTGTGGGCAGGTTTGGAGCAGCAGAGCTGGTTGTCTAGCAGGGAGTTCCCTTTATTCCCAGAAGCTGTGTGCCTGAGATCAAGACAAGGCTGATAAGACTCTAGCCTCCTCATGGACAGCATTACTGCAGCAGCTAGACTTCCTGTACCTTTGCACAGAAACTTTCCCAGGCACCAAGCATACCACAGCCCTGAAGTCATCAGAGACCCCAATCTCAGATACTGCTCTCCTGTTCTCTGTCACCGCTCTCCACATTTCTCCCTTTTTATTTTTTTTAAAAATATTTATTTTTTAGATGTAGATGGACACAATGCCTTTATTTTATTTATTTATTTTTATGTAGTGCTGAGCATTAAATCTAGGGCCTCGCCTGTGCTAGGTTAGTGTTCCACCGCTGATCTGCAACCCCATCCCCCCTTTTTAATTTTTTAAATGTAAATGATGTATTAAGACTTGGAGTTGTTGGATTTTTCTTCTGAAGGTTCGGCATCCTATTGTTACTTTCCACTTCTTTGAGTCCTATTAGTAGTAAGAACTTAAAGAAAATTCCAAATGAGAAAACGTGAAGGGGTTGGTCTTAGCGGCCATCAAGCCAATGGAATGCTGTGCTCATGGGAACCTGAGTCAGAAGCCGAGTTCAGCAACAATAACAGGGGCTTCATGTTGACAGGAGGCTACTCTCCTTGGCTCCTTAAAGGTTCTATGCATCCTGCAAGCAGTATCTACTTTTTTCAGGATTATCTTTTAAAGATGTTTGTTTAAGGAGCAGAGTCAGAAGATACAGATGGTATCTCCGTCAAGGACAAGTATGCTTCCAGCCCCTTAAAAATATCTTCTGTCCCCAAGGTCAGAGTTCCTTTGCTGTAATGTGACCCACTTTGTGAACTGTTGTCATTTTGCTCCCCCTCTATTTTTGAGTTGTTACAGGTGATAAAGTGAAGATAAGGTCATTACAAAGGGTCAGAATGCAGTGTACTGGTTTAAGAATGTTTTGGGACACAGAGAAGGTCCATGTAAAGATACTGGGGGAAGACAACCAACTGCAGACCAAGGTCTGAGAAGAAGTATCTACTTTTTTCATCAGACCTGTTAAGACCTTGATCTCAGACTTCCAGCCTCTGCCTAAGTCCATGGTCTGTGATGACGTGTTCTGGCCACCTTAGAAAAAAACTAGGCTGCAGCTGAATACTGCTATGGTTTGAGTAATAATGTCTATGACCTGAGAATCCTGTGATTTTGTGTTTTATTTTCTAGCCTTCATCCAGACTAACTTTGAACTTGCAAGTAGGGTACAACCTCAGAATATTCAGTTCAAGGAAAGGGAAGCTGGGAAATCTAGTCTCTAGCCTGGTGGCTACATGCAGAGATGACATTCATAGAGATAGGAGGGTTAGTACCACCAAAACCAGGAAGGTTGGGCAAAAAAGGGAAATGGCAGGTGGGGTAATAATAGCGGAAATAAAAAGGGAGTGTCAATGTCCTGAGAGCAATGACAGGGTGTCATTCAGTCATTGAAAGTATCACAGCCATATTCCAAATCAGCATTTCCCAGTGGAAATTTCCTATGGATATTTCCTGATTAAATAGTTGTAAACAGTGACTTTGTTGAGAT